GCATTTGTGTAGCTGAGATGTGTGTCTACGTGAAAGAACATGTGGAGAGAGTCGTATTGGCATTCGCATCAAGCGCATTGCGCATTTTTCGAATTTTGGCCCCCTTCCAGGGACCTTGATTTTTACCCGCTGGCACTGACGTCTTTTAATTGGTCAGCCGGTTAGCGCGGTCGATGCTAATAATAAAAACACAAACAGCAAGTTTGCAAACAGCAAATGGGGTCGCCACAGATGGGATCTTCCTCTCGCGGCTGCTGCTGCTGTGCTGCCTAGCTGCCGTGCCTGCCGTGCGTGTGCTACAAGCCTCCCCCCCACTACAGCTTCCCTCGAACAATATCTCCGTCCGTTCTTGGTGTACCAGGGATTACACGGTTGTTTCCGTACTCACATCACCATTCTTCTATCAGGTTTGGCCTAGCGTTCTGTCTGTACACCTGACCAAATCACCGCCGGTTTGTATAGCACTTGTATGCTGCAGTCTATTGTCTGTGGACAGCACAACGATTCGACTAGACAGAGCAAATACAGCAGAAGTAGCTATTACCACACAGCAGTAGCTTGATCATCAATTGCAAGGGCCTGTAGCAACGCGAACAAGTTATTGAAATACATAGTTGTTGTGATGAAGCGCTTCTGGTCTCAGCTCCAACTAAAATCTGCGACAGCTGGGGAGCGGTCCACATGCTGTCGTGTACTGGCAGTGGCGGCCCGACGCAAAGCCGCTTGAATAAGGCCGCCTGTCCGATTGTGCTAGATACGGCGGGGGAAATGAGCCGCGGGGTAGCGTCGCAGTAGTCTATATGCGATGCTTTTTGCGGTGGCGACTGCACCCGATCGTTGAATCTTGAATCCGAGCCATCATCAACAACAACATAAACGAGGCTCTGTGACGGGCGGACGGCCGTTTGGATTCGGTCAAATTTTGGATGTACCGGGACAGAGCTTTTAGGAGTTTAATTACGCGGCCGAAGCCCGTCAATACACGGTGAAACCCATTCATCTGCGGGCCAAACGCCTTCAAATTATTGCACCTCACTCAATGAATCGATGACGGGAAAGAGACACCAGAGCAGAGGTACGGTCATCGGGGCAGCAAAGAAATCACCGTGCAGATATTCTGCCATGCGGGTTGTCAATACACCGACGCGTCGGGATGATGGGTGATTGATGACGATTGCTTTGGGTGGGATATTCACTCCAAAGAACCTACAGATAGCTGTTGTGTTAGATGGGGTCAAGAGAGCGAGAAAAACAATGCGGAGCTGCAGAGCACCATCATCACGTTACTTGGAAGTGTTCTGGCGAGAGGACGGGCGTTCAGATGATATAGAGGTATGCATGGATTCCTGGGTGTGGGCACTGGTGTGCTGCAGTAGGTCGATATTAATATTCGCGTGTGCGTGCGTGCGTCCGTTCGTGTTTGTGCGATCTCCCTCTCTCTCCTCGCTGTAGCTCTTCTGGCGGGTGCTGCTGCGTGCTCGTCATCGACACTCAGTGTGGATTAACATTGCGAAACTTCGTGTACACAGAGACCAGAGTGGTCTGCCTCTGCTGCTGGTGGCGTCTGGTATGCGCCAGTTTCAGCGCCCAGGTTCCCGCCTGATGTGTGTCGGTCTCTAAACTGGTTCGAATGCGGTGCGCGCAGAAAGAAAGCGGCGTAATCGCCAAAGTAACTCGAAAACAGACAAGACGTCAAGTAGGCGCCAAGTTCAATGGAGACAGTTGATTTGCGGACACCAAGTTAAATCTGTTCCGGTGGCTTTTCTTGCTGCCGTAAATTCGTGCGCATTCAGCAGTATCCCGCCGTGGATGACACAAGATACCACACCCTGGACCAACTTCCAGAGCTCGGTTGCTCCACATCACAAAGAGTGGCGGTGCCGAAAATGACGGTGTGGGAACCGTCTCGTCGACAGCTTTCCGACAACGTCTTGCTGCGTTCACGCATCCTCTTCTTCGTGGAGTACTCGAGCTTTAAAAACAGGGGCTGGGGGTGGTATGGTATCTCATGTCACCGACGGTAGAAGACCTGTGTACCATACGTGCGCTCCATAATGAGTTGGTCGTTCGGTGGTTTCTCTGTACAGATTGTCGCAGAAGCACTCGCAAAGCTATTCCCCTCGACCTCTGTTAATGACACGTCTTGCGTGGCGGCTGATAGAGGCCACGGGGCCGTAGGCCCCACGGACATTGGAGGAGGCGATAGGGGGCAAAGCCGGGCAATCATGCGAGAAAAATATCCCGCCAATAGAGGAGGCCCTTCTTCTTGAGCATTTTGTTTGAAGGTGACCCTTCTCCCGGCACACCGAAACAAAAGCAATAACAAAGGTATCCGCCACGAGCTGTGTCCATACTCCGTCTTGTGCGGTTATTGATACAGACCAGGAGGATCGAGGATGCTCAGAATTTGTGAGCCAAAGAGTGTGGGTCAGCTCGAAAAAAAAACGCCGCGTCTGCTGGGATCATATGTTTTCCCCACATTGTTACTGATGATCGCTCTCAACACACACCGAACTAAATAAGCAACAGTAAGTACAATGGCATACGCCACTAGCTCTGTGTATGACTCCCTTCCCCCGCCGGTGCTGTCTTGGTAATCCCGGCCGTGTTGCGTGCTTCGCTGAGTGCTTCTTCTGTTTTCCTCGTGTGAACCAAGCAACCCCGGGTGTCTGGGTGGGAGTTCTACGATGCCTTGCCTTGCATTTTCTCTACAACTTCGCGGGGATGGGGGTAACAATATTCTATGGTTATTGGGTACCAATACCGGTGAGGCACGGCCATCTGCTCTCGGGGTACGAGCAAACCGGTGTGGTGAAGAGCGGCTTATTTTTCTTGTTCCTCCCATTCCAGCAGATCGTCAATCGGTGCTCTATAGTTTTGAAGCTGGCCGAAAGGATGGAAAATTCAGGCGGTCGTTTATTGAAACTTGGGCCCCTGGTAGATTGAGCCTGTCTTTGCCCTCCTCGGACGGAGGGAAAAGAACGGTCGCGCTTCGCGCTCCGCGGCTCATTGCAAAACCGGTGAAATCGCTTGGCACCGACCTGGCCCAATATAAGGCCCGTTCCAATCAGAACCCAAATTTCCCCGATTGAAAGCACGGAACCATGAAAAGAAAACGGGACCTTTTTGCGCTTGTTCTAGTCTTGGTGTTCACTATCTCTCTCTCCCGCTACTCCTCGCATACCTCTTGTCTCTGAAAGCTGTCGCTCTCTGTCACCACCTTCACTCGCGCGGCGTGCATGTGGCCTACTGGACCCGGCAAAGATCGACGCAGGAGTGACGGCAAGGATGGTGAGAGAGTGTGGGCAGGAAGGATGCACCAAGACCTCCACCTACGGCAACGAAGGTAGCAAAAAGGCAGAGTTCTGCGCGAAGCATTCGAAACCTGGGATGAGGGATGTCCTCAACAAGCGGTGCTCCCACCCGACCTGTACCAAGCACCCGTCCTTTGGAGAACGTGGAACTAACAAGGCGCTCTTTTGTGTGCGGCACGCACAGGCCCAGATGATCAACGTTCTCATCAAGCGATGTGGCCACGACGGTTGCGCCAAGCAGTGCCTGTTTGGAGAGGCTGCCAAACGGCCGGAGTTCTGTAGTCGACAAGCGAAACCCGGTATGATCAATGTCGTCAGCAAGAAATGTGGGCACCCAACTTGCACGACTACCCCGAGCTTTGCTGCTCCCACGTCGAAGCGCGGGGAGTACTGCTCCCGACACATGAAGACCGGAATGGTAAACGTCGTCAACAGGAAGTGCGGTCACCAAGGTTGCACCAAGCAGCCCTTGTTTGGGACCGCCGGCACCCAAAGGGGACAGTTCTGTGCCCAACACGCAGGGGGCGGAATGGTCAACGTCGTCAGCAGGAGGTGCGCCGGCGGAAAATGTTTCTTACATCACGGGATAGCTTCCCCGGGGGTTGACTCGTCGGCCGAAGGCCGCCACAACCTCGTGGAACCCGATTTATTGTTGACAGCGTAGAAGAAGAGTATACATGTCGTGTTTTTCATCGGCCTTTTGTGTTCAGTTAATCGTCGTCGTTTCGTTCCAAATATCTGCGTTCGATGCCACCGACAAGCAACTTTCTTATACATGACCAGAAAGTTGCGCTCCGTGAAGCAGCAAATCCTCTCGGACTCTCACAGGCTGTGTTGACCGTTTTTCAGTATCTTTGGAATCCTCGCAGAAGGTTGTTTTTTTCGTTTACGCTTTTCTCGTCTTCACTCTTCCCCCTGTTACGGAAACGGGACTAATTCGTTTACGGACGCCTCAATCGATCTGGCGCAGTCTGTTTGGAGGCGGGCGGCTTGCGTCAGGAACGCAGAGCAGAGAAGCTTGACTCAAAATCCTTGAATTAACGAGTGCGCCGGGCATTTTAACCCATGCACAGCAGAAGGGGGACCGCCCCTCTACCAACACATACCACCAATGATACACGAAACCCTCTTAGATCTCCGTAGATCAGTATCGAGTGCTGACTACCCCCGAACAGACCCCCTACTCGGTACTTGGTATGATCTAAGAAACTCTTCAAATTTCACCAGGTAAAACGGCGACGAACTCCATGCCAAACACACAACGACAGTCGTTCATCATACCATCCACTCAAACCTCACAATCCCGTAGTTCTGTGACATCCCCTGAACCTTACGATGTCAACATCATTTTCTTGGGCATACAGTATTCCCAACAAGGTCCGTCAAGGATTATTTGATTCTTTCGTTCAAACACGCAAAAATCATTGCAGTGGTCAAGATGAAAAACCGCAATGTACACGGAAATATCAAGGAAAAACCTACGACTCACTGCGGATACCTAAACATGAACCGATATCCAACCGCCCCCTTGCCGGGACATGCTTCCTCCTATATGAACGAGCAAACGAAGACCTTTCGAGGCAATTACTTGGGGTACAACAAGCAAAATCCAAATACAGTATCAAACATCAACCCATGTAACGCCAAAACATTGCTTGTTGTACTGCAACGGGGATCATTGTAAGACTTCCTCCCCCCATGATTATGGATGGCCTTGCAACCAGCAGTGATTCTGCATAACGTCCAAGAATTTGGCAAACCTAATACTTCCAGCCCACAGATGCATATAGCTGAAGGCCAAAAACAACGACAGATGAAACGGGCTGTCAGAAAATAACAGAAGAGTATCGTATCACACCAAATAGAGTACGCAACGTGGTCCTATGAATACGCGTCAGCATAGATTTTTCCTGGAAACCCCCCCCCCCCCGTTAAAGACAATACGCAAGGAAACAAGAAAACTAAAACTAACGACAACCAGCCGTCCTGCAGCTAGAAACTGGAGCAGATAACTTCATCGCAAAACAAAAGCGCAGATTCATCCCGAAATCGTGGTGGGCGCAAAGCTTGTTTGGACAGCGAAGATGGTCAGAAAATCCGCTCGTTGAAGGTCTGATCGCACATGATGTACCCGAAATTCCCCCCGCGCTACACGCTCTCGGACAAATGTTGTCGAATGACGATGTGCTTCGAGTTCGGGGTAGTAGCCGGGTTGCTCGCCAAGTGGATACTTCATCCCCAACATTATCGTCGTGAAAGTACACCTGATGTCCCGGTCCGGAAAATAAAACTCCACACGTACCGCGAAAACTAGCCTCCTTCCGTGCCATCCGACAGAGCAACACTCGGCCTCCGTCGAGGACAGGGTAACGCTCCTCTGCGCTCTAGGCAAATATATCACGCATGCCCCCGCAGTGATCACCAATGCACCAGAAACAGACCGTCGGTCGGTGGCCTTGCTGGCGAAATCTGAATCGAAAAAAACTCCATGCGCTCACCCCCTTCCACACACCGCTGAAAAGTAATGCCGAACCCATGACAAATGTATAATCTAACGTATGCAGCGCCGCTTGCCAGTGCAACCGTTTCGTCGTCTGGGTTTACCTCGCAAAGGCCCGTACCGCGTTGAGAATATCCGGGCGAGTCTGATTCGCTAGCCGCATCAAGTGTCCTACCAACGACCGAAATGGGTCTTTCACGTCGGGTTCTTCAGCGTCAAACTCCTCAAGCTTCAAACCAACGACCATGGACGTCTCATTGTTCTGCGTAACGCCAAATTTGGAAAAATCTTCTCTTCTACAGCCTGCTGCGAAACAGTCACCGTGGATAATGCCGCGTCGCGAGAAAAACGGCAACCCGCGTACCAGCGCAGTCCGCCAAGGTTTGAGGTGGGACCATATCGGTTGAGGTCTACACCAAATTGGTCACACCGGCTCTTACGCCCGATAGAAAATATGCCATCTACGTGTACCACAACCACCGTAGTCACCACACCATCCTCAATTCGACGCATCACACACGCATCGGCAGCGCATGACTCAAACCCAAGACGCTGAATGCCACGCATAAAGTGTTTGTGCCACGTGTGCGAAGCCTGACGAAACCGTACAGACTTCGCCCCAGCTTGGCCACCTTACCAGAAAGTGCACCACAACCCTGGGGGAGACGGACGAACACATCCTCATCCAACTTCGACTGAACGAACGCCTGCTCAGCATCAAAATGACTCAAGTCCCCTTCCCATCTCGCACGCAACTACAAAGCCAACATCCGAATGCTAGCGATCGATGGACACGGGGAAAAAGTCTCGAAGAAGTCAATACCATCACGCTTCCCACACCACCGAGCAACTACTCTAGCCTTAGCGCTCACAGCACGACCAAATTCATCAACCTCCCATGAATACACCCACTTGGCCGAAATGACTATGGTTAGTCGCTGCTACACCCCCCCGTGCTCCACGAAAGTGCCCACAGATCGCAGCCCAGCAAACTCCTTGCGCTCCGCCTCCGCCCGGATGTGGTTGTGTTGGCCCGCTCGCGCCTGCGCGTACGTCTCCGGTGTCTCCAGATCGCAAGCCGGCCCCGACGGCATCTTAGGCTGGGCAGCGTCCGGTCCAGCCGCCGTGTCGAGAGACCGCATGATGTCGCCCTGCGATGCAACAAACGCAAAGCTCCCCGGCGCCATCCCGCTCCGCTTCGTCTGAGCCCGCTTCACAGCCGGTGTGACCACGTGGCCCGGGCGTCCCCGTTCCGGCATACCAGACCCACCCTCATGAACCATATCCCCCCAGTCCTCGACCACCGGGGGCGGCGATACCGAGCCTACCGTGGACGCACCCCCTGCTACCCGTGGAACCGCCGCCGGTTCCTGCCCACGTTCCGCCCCGCACCCCGCCATTCGCTGCTCCGTATGCCCTCCAACAGCTTTTCCGCCGGCGAATTGACCACCCTCCAAGGTCCCGGGGGGAAGACCCCCCCCAGGGGGAGAAGAAGCTGCAGTAGCCGCCGATGCCCCGGGGGGAAGACCCCCCTCTAGGGGAAGAAGATCTCGCAGTAACCGCCGGTTCCCCGGAGGGAAGACCCGTCCAGGGAAGAAGTCGCCGCTGCTGCCGTCTCTGTCACATGCTCATCCGATAGCGGCGCAAACGCCCACGGCCGCGTGGACCCAACAGCCCCAGCCCCCCAAATGGGCACCTCTCCCCCGAAAGCCTGGCGCCGGTAGGCGAAAGTGACGTGTACGTGGCGACACCCGACGGTAGGATGACCTTGACGGTATTGGACGAGTGGTCGTTCCCGGAATCGAAATAGGATCAGCATTCCCCTTGACTCTTCATCTTGGTTGGGCGAGGTCGGTGCCGATATGCAGGCATCATAAACGGCAGCGCCATGCAAAGTCGCCGCTTCCCGAACAGCTTCACCTCCGGGCACCGCGTGTCGGCCTTACTGCACCCCGCCGTCATGTTGAGACAGTCATTCATCCACGCACGCGCCTGGGGTCAGATTGCCACGTGGACCGCCGCACGCGCAGGAAACACGAGATCAGGGAAGTGCTTGCGGTACTCGTGCCACCCGGAAGCCCCACGGTGGTTAAGGACGATCGTGCAGCGCTCTTGCATGCGGTTCAACGAGATCAGGTTCAACACCAGACCAGGCACGACAGCAACGTTTTTCAGCGTCACAAGCACATCGTCGTCGCAGTTCAAAACCAAATCCAGGTCACAAAAAAAGGACACCGGCAAACACGCGCCATCACCAACCACCAGACGGCGCTCCTCCGGACCCGGCTCCCGCCGGTTGTAGACCTTTTCGCCCGAAGAAACGCCATGGATCACAGCGCCCGAGTCTCCCATGAACACAGTAGCTCCATGGCGTGGATTCAGGAAAACACGGGTTGCGAAGTGTGCGGGACGATACGGCAGCCGCTGCGGAGCACCAACCCCACGAGACCACTGCTGGAGCTGCTGCGGGCGTGGCTGGAGAGGATCACCGCTCCACTGCTGCTGCTGCTGATACTGCTGGCGGGGAGGACCACCCCACTGCTGCTGCTGCTGCGCCTGCTGACCATTGGTACCTTCTCCCTGTCGACGCCCAGCGCCACCCCCGACGCCACAAATTACCAGTGCGTAAGGATTTGACGCCGGTGCCGGTGCAGGAGACGCCGATACCGCGCCCTTGAACAACTCCTGGACCTTACGTGTCGCGTATATTGACCGAATGACGTCCTCCACCCTAGCAAAGCGTCAACCCAGGCTCGGAAAGGTGGAAAAAATCACCATATCGTAAAAGTGGGGACGTTGGCGGGCGGTTATCTTAACAATCTCCGCCTCTGTCTTGTGGACACCAGCTGCAGCCAACGTTGACACGTGATCATCAACCCGCGCCAGGAAAAGCTTCAAGTCCTCATCTCCTTTCATTTCGATGTGTTCCAACTGCTGGCTAAGCAATTGGCATTCGTCGGGGCGAGGGCAGAACCCTGTCGCTGATCAGCTTCCAGACGTCGCGCACCGAAGCGCAACTACGCGCAGTCGTGGTACGAAGGGGGCATTCGTGACCGCTTCCAGGAGAATACCAACGCTCTTATGTGTTCGCTAACCGGCCTATCCCCCATACTTCCGCAAGGACGGCACGGTCGTCGCAGTTAACAACTGGAATCTCCTGGGCA